TTAGCTCAGTGGCATAAGCACTTGCCTAGCAGATGCCAAGTCATGGGTTTGATCCCTGGTACTGAAAAAAAAGGATATAAATGTATATATAATTGTGCAAGACAGATAACCATCCTAAGTTTTTGTTAACTTATCAAACAGAATAGTTTGTACTGTCATTGTTTGTCTACTTTTTAAGTTTTGATTGTGTAACTTGAAAAACTACTTTTTTTCCTATTTATTTTTTGGTACTAGGATTTGAACTCACAACCTTGCATTTGCCAAGCAGGCACTTATACCACTGAGCTAAACCCCCAGCCCCAAGAACAACTACTTCTAAGATAACAATATGTAATTTATTAATTAGTAATTTCTTACTGTTTTTTTTTTTGAAATTCTGTATTCTACCCTTTTTTATATTTTGGTTTTTTCCTCTAAAAAAAATACAAATTTCCCAATCTCTACACTTGATAGTTTGGACCAGATAATTCTACTACGTAAAATGTTGGTTTTTTTGATTCACTTTTGTTTTTAGCAGTACTAGAGATTCAACTTCATACCTCACACTTGCCTCTGAGCTATATCTCCTTTTTTTGAGACATGGTCTTGTTAAGTTGCCCAGGCTGGTCTTGAACTGGCAGTTGTCCTGCCTCAGTCTCCATGCAGCAAGGATCACAGCTTTTTACCATATACCCAGTTAGTTGTAAGTTGTTTAACAGAATCCTTGGCTTCTATTCATTACATGTGTATAACACTCCTCAAACTTGGTGACAACCAAAAATGTATGTAGATAATCCTCATGTCCCCTAGATGGGAAAATTACCTCTGTTATATTAACTGTATCTAGGTAATTTTCATTTTTGTTTGTTTGTGGCTTTTTGAGACAGGCGCTGGGATTATAGGCATGTGTTACCATATCTGACTTGTATCTCCATATGTATTAGTAATAATCAAAACAGCTACCGACAAAGCCTGGGCATGATGGCACCCACCTGTAATCCTTAGTACCGGGGAAGCTGAGGCGGAAATATTGCTAAAAGCTGGGCATGTAGTACATGCCTCGAATGCCAGCACTGGGGAATGAGGCCAGGGGATCGCTGTAGTTTGAGGCCAGTGGGGCTATGTAGTGAGTTTGAGGCCAGTGAAGACTACATAGTGAGACCCTGTTTCAAAAAACAAAACCATTTAAAAAAAGGTATCAAAAAAAGCCAGAAATGGTCAATTATGACGGAATAGCCAAATAAATACATGAGCAAGATGCAACGTATTTAAAACAAATGTTAGAGCTGGAGTGGTGGTGCAGCCTTAATACACTGAACATTCTGGGAAGCTAAAGCAGAACAGAAAGATTGAGAGCTGCCTAGCAATTTAGCAATTTAGTCCCAAAATAAAAATTGAGACTGGGTAAGTAGCTCAGTATGAAGGCCCTGAGTTTAATGCCCAGTACTACAAAATAAATAGGCTGCTGCGATAGCTCAATATGTAGACCCTGAGTTAAATCCTAGTGCCACCAAACAAAAAAAATTACTATAAATAAATCATGTTTCCAGTTCTGGGGATTTAGCTCAACAGCACAAGCACCTGCCTGGCAAGCATGAGGTCACTTTCTCATACGAATAAAGAAATAGAAAGTTTCCAGTATACTGTATATAGGCTGCGCATGGTGGCTAATGCTTGTAATCTGAGCACATAGGAAGCTGAGACAGGTGGATCACTATGACTTTGAGACAGGCTGGGGTATAAAGTTCAAAGCCAGCCTTAACTACAAAGTGAGGCTCTGTCTCAAAAACAAATAAAAGAGGGCTGGGGATTTAGCTCAGTGGCATAAGGCCTGCCTGGCAAGCGCGAGGTCACGAGTTCAATTCCCAGTACAAAAACAAATAAAAGAGCTGGTAGTGTACACCTATAATCTCAGCACCCAGGAGGCTGAGGCAAGGCAGGATCAAGACCAGCCTTGGTTACAAAGTGAGCTCAAAGCCAGCCTGAACTGCATAGTGAGACCCTGTCTCAATAAAGACAAAATAAATGAATAAAAAGGAAGAGTTCAAATTGATTTGTGGTTTTAGTTTTAGTTTTTGTTATTGTTTTGAGACAGGGTCTCATTATGTAATTCAGACTGGCCTTGAACTCACTGGGTAGCTCACGCTGGCACTGAACTCCCAGTGATCCTCCTGCTTCAGCCTCCCTGATGCTGAGATTATACGCATGAGCCACCACGCCCAGCTCAACACTTGAAATTGAGAAGATACAAATGTAACAAATTTACTGCTGAAGGAGTAAAAGCTGCTTTACCCCTGTTGTTTTCAAGCCTACTTAAAGTTCACAAGTAGTTAGATGGCTTGAATTCCTGGGCCCTGTCCCTGGAGCTTCTAATTCAGCAGGTCTAGGGTGAAACTTGGTATTTGCACTTCTAACAATTTCCTAGGAGACCACCTGTGTCAGTTATTTTTCTCTCATTGCTGCAACAAAATATCAAACACCCAAAATAAAGGAAGGAAAGGTTTCTTTAGCTCAGTTTGTGAAAGTTTCAGTCCAAGGTTTCAGCTAGCTGCAAGGCAGGCTGGCGGGGTACTGGCACAACACTCCCAGGCAGGAGCCAAAGCCAAAAGGCAGAAACAAGCCTCCCTTACATTGTACACAGGCCACTCCCCACTGGGGTGGTGTAGCACTCACAAATCTTCTGTGCCCTCCTCTTGCACAGGATGAGCATATTTACAAAGTCAGGATCCTGGCTCCCTGCTGAGTCTCTCAAACTTCTAAACTTCTCAAATTGATACAATGTATCAGTCAACAATCCAGCCCTTGTCAACTTGGCAAGCAGATACATTAGTTTAAACCGGTTTCCAGACACAGGACATGCTTATTCTTAGCATTTTGCCACTTGAACATCATAATGTGGCTTAACAATCCTTAAGGACCAGCATTAAGTCTATCAACATTATATGACATTAGAAAAATAACATTTTGTTCTTGGACCCCCAAAGACTCATGCACATCCCTTTATGCAAAAGGCATCTATCTAGTCCATCTGCAAGAGTTGCCAAAGTCCTAACAGTTTCAGCATTGCTGAAAAGTACAAGTCCTACATCTCCTCTGAGATGTGAGGCAAAGGTTACCTGCAAGACCCTGTACAAACGAAAACAAACTTAAACACTTCCAACATGCAAGATACAAGATAAACATTCCCATTCCAAAAGGTACAAAGAGGGGATACAAAGCATTGGGACCAAAACAAGTCCAAAATCCAGCAGGGAAAATGCTAAGTCCTGGACCAGTTTCCCATAGCAAATTGTGAGCTCCAAAGGGCTTGTGTGGTTCCAACCATTGGGCACTTCTGGTGGCCAATGATCCCACAGTTTTTCTCTTAGACCTGCTTTGCTCTCTCCTTGAAGCTTTCCCTAGATAATCCACATTTCCTGGCTTTTTCAAATTGGTGAGGGAGACAAGGCTTGTAACAGAGGAAAAAAAGCACTCTTGCAAAATGAATGGAACAGCCAGAGTTAATGAATTTTGATGAATTTTGATGGTTAATAAATAACGTGCTTTGTAGCCACTTCTGGGAAGAAATTTTCCTTGAGAGTTATGCAGGCCTCCGCAGAGACATTATCTCATGTCTTTGCCCCATGGTATCACAGCTTGTGTGTCTACACTCAGCTATGGCTGTTGATGATGAACAATGCTAGTCCTAACACCAGCCACCTGCTTCCATGAAGAGAAGCATAGGGGCTCTGCAGACTAATGAAACTGAAAGCTAATTTGGGGAGGTCACCTCTGTACAACCTGCACTGCTCACAAGTAAGCAACAGCTAAATGTGGGTCTGGGAAAGAGTGAGGTGCTGGTCCTGCACAGGGTGTAGGAAACCTCACCCCACCTTGAGAAGATGCAGACAAGCACCAAATTATACTGTTGCCCTTCTGCTCAGTGCAATTCAGTGACATCCATAAGCAAGTTTTCACAAAGGATAGCATTTATATCCTGAACCTTGGGGTCAGGTATTCCCTTGCCTTAGGTTGTTTTGAGCACAGGTTAGGCATTGCACAAAAGCAGCTCAAGTGATGGCAGTGACAATCATAGTAATGACAACCTAGTAATGTCTCCAGTTATGTTTTCCCTTTGTGAGACCTTGATGGAACCATTTTACAAACCTGGGAGCCATCAACAAGTACATTGATTTGTGCCTATACAGCATCTAGAAGATGTACAATTTTGTTTGTAATTTATCCCCCACCAGCAGTTACAATCAATCTTTTTCTGTATATAGCTCCATGAAAATGTACTGTGACAAAGACTTAGTTGGAATCCTTTTCTTGGGTTCTTGCATGTGCAGGGCTTCTCTCTACTATGAGTTTTTTCATGCATTTTTTAAAAATAGGAAAATTTGAAGGTTTTGACACACTGTTGAGTTCATAGGGTTCTTCACCATTATGAACTCTGCTGTGTAATTGAAGAGAGGTGGAATAACCAAGAACTTTACTACATAATTTTCATCCATAGAACTTTTCACCAGTATCAGTTCCTTCATGTTTTTGAATAGAACTGGGATAAATGCTTACCGCACTGTTTAGGTTCATAGATTTTCTGCATGGTATCAATTCTTTCATATACTTGAAGGGACCCAGAATGACTGAAGTCTTTAGGACACTATATACAGTATGTATATGATTTCCCCCATGTGAGTTAAGATCTCTGAATGAAAAAATGATAAATGCAGGCTTTAACACATTGTTTACATCTATAAACTTTTTCTCCAGTGTGTGTGCTTTTGTATACTAAAGGAAAGTGGAACAACTGAAGGATTAGCACAATGTTCACCTTCACATGTTTGGTGTTTGTTCCTCAGCATGAATCCTTTTATGCCTTTGAAGACAACTGAAATGAAGGAAGGCCTTAGCATATTTTTTAGTTGTAGGATGTATCTCTCCTTCCGGTGTAAGTTATTTCATAGATTCTAAAGGACTAGGAATACGTGAAGATTTTTTTCAACACTGTTTATTTGTTTTTTCCTTTTTCTTGGTACCAGGGATGGAACTCAAGACAGGTTCTAAAGGATTTCCAGATCACAATTCTATAGAGAATTCCCAGAAGAATCAAGCAAAAGCCACTCCTCCCGAGTGAAGTTCAAACTCAAGTATTCAAAGGGCGCTGACTTCTAAAACATTCCAGTTCCCAGCTCCTGTGCTTCTCCTGGCATTCTTCCTACACTTTCAGCAACCAATGGAAGTTACAGCTTACAGTAAGGTAGGCCACTTGGTTCCACACTCAGTAGCAGAATGAGAGATTCGGAGTATGGCTTATATGTCAATCTTGCCCTCACAGACTTGCCCCATCTTCCTAGCTCTCATATAGACTGTTTCCTCTCCTACCAATGTGAGACCACCCTATTCCTAAGTCTGCTAACCTACATCTGAGTCATGTAATTTTGCTTCCTACCACCTCTCAATCTTACTAACAATGAGATCTCCATGTCCTTTTCTCTTCTACTGGCCCTCTTGCAACACATCACCCCAGTTATGTTTCCATTCTTTGACCAGGCCCCTGCTCACTCTGAGAGCTTGGGATAGAGCCCTAACATCCCCACTGGGTGCCTATTGCAAGTCCAGGTGCTGCCTCTGATTTGGGAACTTGGAGACAGAGCAGCTTGGCTGGTATGTGCAGGGACTCAGGTGGTATATAGTGTGGAAGAGGAATGATTCCTTCCCCCAATCTTAGGTCAGAAGTATTTCTGGCATCTGGTCCTTGTATGTGCCCCTAAATTTCTAGCAGTCATATTAAGTCACTTTTGGGGGAAGTTGGAATGGTAGTTGTGACTCCAGCACCTGGAAGTTGAGGAGCCAGTCATCCAGCTCACTCTTCCTGGGCCAGTGGAAGCCATCACTTCTCTTTGGCTGGTCATCTCGCCTTAGGGTCTCACATAGGGCCACAGCGTGGGGCTGTGATCACAGAAGCACGTCCCTGTCTTTTTTCTGGCTTTCTTGTGAAGAATTCTTTTCCTGTGCTCCTCTCTGTCAAAGGTACTTTCACATCAGTCTCAGTGCCCAATACAAGTGACACAGTGAATGTCAAAGACATGTCACATCTTGTGACACATATAAACAGAGACTGTTGAATTGTTTCCTCTTCGCTGGATCACTGAGTTGTAGCCTTTCAGATCCCATGAGCAAAAGAAGCTAAAGCATCTTATAGTAGCTGAGGCAGAGGGCTATTCCTCAGGTACCCGGTTCCATGCTGAACATTAGTAATCTGTGGGAATGTGTTGGTACACATTTCTTCTAAATTCTGATGACCTGGCTTCAGAAGGGTCAACTGTTTCATGGTTTTCAAAAAAACTTTTAATTTCAAAGTTTTTTTCTGTGTATGAGATCACCACCAAGTTCTCTCACATTTACCTTCTTCACTGCCTGAAGTCCTGTACTTGGGCTCTTTCCAATGGCTTAGGAAAGATCTGTCATTTAAATCAAGGATTGGAAAGGCTAAAATGCATCAGCATGGCAGTTTTCCTTTTCTGAGCTTGTTAATTTTCTCCCTGATCTTTTGCATTCAAAAATTTTCCTAAGGATGCAGCTTCATTACTTTATTTTTAATCTTTAAAAATTTTGTTTTAAATAGAATAAAACAAAACAAGATGAAACAGAATAAACCCACTAAAACAAAACTGTGAAAGCGATATAGGACTTCAAAATAAGATAATAGGAAATCAATAATGGCTACCATAATGCCTATTGTTACGTTTAAAATAGCTGCTCATATCATCAGACATAATAAAATCAAGCAAAACAAAACAGCGAAACCAAACCAAACAAAGCTATATAAACAATACAGGACTTCAAAACAAGGTAATAGGAAATTAACAGTGGCAACCACCATCCATTTCTAGACATTTCCTTCCCTTTCACTTTCACAATTTCTATTGTGCATTTTAGATCACACTAACTCCCTCAGTTTTTTATAAAGAGAGAACACAATTTCCTCCCTCATGAGTTTGAACCATTTCCACCAAGAGCATGAGCTCAAGTTACATGCATTTATCTACAAGAGCCTCCAGGTCATCCTTCTTTATAGTTGAGTAGCTTTCTATTGTATAAAAATACCATATCCTTCTTATCCATTCTGTGGTCCATGGACTAGCTACCCTTGCTTTTTTTTGGTTGCTTTCCTTTTGAGTTAAATATGTAAATATTTTTATATACAGCATACTGATGGAACTTGTTTCTTAATCCACTCTACCTGTTTCTTTTTATTGGTGAATTGAGGCCATCTACATTAATAGTTACTGCTGGTATGCATTGGCTCATCTCTGCCATGCTATTTTTCTGCTGTTGGATCCCTACTTTTCCCATCTGTTCAGTTGCCTGCCCTGCTTGGTGATCTTCCTTTGTTGCTGTCCTTGAAATTGTGATCCTCTTTATCTCTCTCTAGACTATCCTTCAGGACTATTTGTAGAGTGGGTTTGGTGGTCATGAATTTCTTCAGTTGTTCTTCGCATGAAAATATCTTATTTCTCCATTAGTTTTGTAAGATAGTTTTGCAGGGAGCCAGGTGTGGTGGCTCACGCGTGTAATCCCAGCACTCAGGAGTAGAGACCCTGTCTCAAAAAAAAAAAAAAGACAAAAAGAAAAGATAGTTTTTGAAAGGTACATCAGCTAGGTTAGAAAATTTTTTTTTCCAGACTTGAAACACTTTACTCCAAACTTTTCTTGGCTTGATGGTTTGTGTTGAGTAGTCTGCTGTGGATGCAGTGCCAGGGCTACTATTGAGGCAGCTAAGATTCTGTGCTCTCTCAAGCCCAAATTCCCGCCACTTCAACTCATTGGAACCACACTTGCACTGAAGTATAGGCACACTGAAGTTGGAGGTCAGCAAGCCCAATGGAGAATGGAGCTGGCAAGGGACCTGCATCGACCTGCAGCAAGTGCCGAGAATAAAACCCTTCCACGGGAAAGAGGCACCAACGGAATGACATTTTGGAATCGAGCAGGACTGGCAATAAGGAACAACAATGACTTTAGTCAGTTGTTCCCTTCCCAGGTGAGATTGGTGGGGTACGCTTGGCCTGAGTCACGCCCCTGGCTGAGACCCAATATGTTGTCCCAAACCAATTCCCTACAAGTAGCACACCCTAATGCAGTAAAGGCCTCAGCAGGTTGACTGATGATGGGGGGCCGGGGGGGCAGCATAGGCCACCCCTGTTTGCACCTCAATAACACACTGGAGTTATTGGAGTGTGGCTAGGGTAGCATCACCTAGCCAGTGTGCTTCAGAAGAACCATAACCAATAAGGAAAGGGACTGGGACCTCCTTTATACAGCTGTATGAAAGACACAAAAAATATGAGAATAGGAAGCAACAAAAAAAGGCCCCAGCCCCCAACCCTGAGAACATCAATCCAGGAGAGGTAAATACAAAAGAGATTGAGGATGACAAACATGCAGTATCAGATACGGCACCAGTGGACATCAAGAGATATCTTCGGAACCTCATAGACAAGTTCAAAAGTGAAATATTTAACCAAATAAAGCAAGATATGAGTAGATTAATAAAAGAAATACTAAGCACCTCTCAAGAAGACAGAGAAGAAAGGAGGAGCACCAAAAAAGGAGAGAAACATTTGATGAAGAATAGAATACATGAAGCAGTTTCAAAGAGATTACCAGGAAATTAAAAACTCCATTAAAAGCTGGCAAAACTGCTTGAAAGAAACTAAGGATAGATTATCCAAACTGGAAGACAGGTTTGCAATGTGGGATCACAAAAGGAAAAATTTCTTAAAAATAACAAGGAAACAGGCAGTGACAATACTAAGGCTAGAGGACGACAAGAGGATCTATAAATTAATAATAATGAATGTGAATGAAGAAACAGGGGTACAAACAAAGGGACTACAAGGGCTATTCACAGAAATAATTAAGGAAAACTTCTCAAGCATAGGAAAAGGAAATGATATTCAGACATATGAGACATACAGAACTCCAGCCACCTACAACCAAAACAGAGCTACACCCAGGCATATAATAATCAAGACCCAAAAAATTCAATATAAGAACAGAATATTAGTCGGGTGGGTGGCTCATGCCTGTAATCCCAGCACTTGGAAGGCTGCAGCAGCAGGATCGTTGTGAGTTCAAGACTAGCCTAGGCTACAAAGTGAGCTCAAGGCCAGCCTGAACTGCATAGAGACCCTGTCTTAAAAAGACAAAAAAAACCCAAAATATTAAAAGAGAAAAGAAACAGATCACCTATAAAGGAAAACCTGTCAAAATCATGGCAGACTTCTCAACACAAACCATCAAATCAAAAAGAGCTTGGAACAAAGTATTCTAAGCCCTGAAAGAAAATAACCTCCTGCCCAGATTGATGTACCCTGAAAAACTGTCTAGAAATTAATGGTGAAACAAGATGCTTCCAAGACAAAGAGGAACTGGAAAAATTCACAACCACCAATCCAACTCTACAGAGAATACTGCAGGACATTCTAGAGAGAGAGAGAAAAGTACCAGGATTCCAGGAACAGTGGCAGAAAGACCTCAGTGAATGGAGCAGAAAGTGGAATGAAGAAGAAAAGTAGACAACTAATGGCAGAAAAAGAGCACAACAGAAATGAGGCAGAGAAGGTGGGCTATAATCTCTAATAGACGGCCTTGATACACACAAACACAAAAATAAAGAAACACAGGCAGAGTAGATCAGGAGGTAGGGTCCACGAGAAGCTCTTTATAGGAAATATAATTAACCTGAAAAAGGGTTTATGGACCAAAAATCAAATACGAGAAAACAATGCTCTATGTGACAGGGAACCAGTGAGTAATAGGGGTGACTAGACCAGTGTTTGTGGATAGGTTAGAAAGACAAGCTTTAATAGGTAAAGGAATACAACTAGAGATCAAGTCCAGGAGGGAGAAGGTTCAGAACCACTTAGGTAAATAGCAGATTGCTCCCCAATGTAAAAACTGAGGGTGGTGGTGAGACCCAAAAATGCACAGTGCACACTGGGGGAGTGAAAGGGGAGGAATAGTCTTAAAAAAGAAGGCAGAGAATATTGTTAATAGTGTATCAGGATTTAAGACCCACATTACTCACACCACTCTGCTTAGATTTTATTCTGTCCCAGTTTGTCTACTTGCGCTAGATCTGAGGACACAGACAGCTATCCCCAAAAATAACAGGATATAATTCAGTAATCATCTGTAATTTCCTATTAACTTAATCTGGAACCCTTATAACTTATACTGTTTTATCATGACTGATCTTAGTTAAATCTGGTTTGTTTGATTGCTGTTTGGTATCGACAGATTTTATTCAAAACTGTTACGATTAACATTACTATCAAGTCTGAGAGTATAGGCAACTACACTGAAGATGACAAGATTCACTACAATACCCATTCTGGTTTAATTATCACCTGTTTTTGAAGTTTTATACTATCTACAAAGTTGTGTTTTTATTAATATTTTTATGTACTGCTGTACTCAATTATAGTATATCTGATGATATAGACAATTCTATTGAAGATAACACGAGACAACAAGTATCCATAGAACTCCTTGTACAGTGGTTTTATATATCTTTTTTATTTCATGTGTCTATAGGAATATGTTTTGTTTTGCCTTGCTTTGTTTTGTTTCTCCCTCTAATATAGAAAGGATAGAAATACATGTTAAGACTCATGCATGCGTAGAACCAATAAACAGTTTATGAGAACTGATCTTATAATGCATGATGAAATGAACAAATACTTTGAAGAAAAAGAGACACTACAGTACCCTGTGCTGATCCTAGAGTGTCATGATGTGAAATCCATCAATACTATTATTCCTTGTTCAGAATGATTTTAGCCTGCTTTGGTTTGTTTAATCTCAACATAAATGAAGATATGGATAACTGCATGTATGTTTAAGTGTATGATTGATAACCATATTACTAAGTTTTTGTTCGATAGTTGAACAGAACTGTTTGCAGTCTCACTGTTTGAATCCCCACTTTGTTTTTTTTTGTTTGTTTGTTTGTTTGTTTTTCTTTTTTTTTTAATTTTATTTAAGGAGAAAAAGAAAAAAAGCAGAGAAAGAGTACAAGTTATACAGATTTACAGGAAAAAATAAACAGGAAATCACTAGTTAATGGATTATATATTGTCATCTTAGAAATAATTATTCACAGTATTTTTCAATCATTTCTTTTTTTTAAGTTATACAGATTTACAGAGAAAAAAACAGTAGGAAATCACTAGTTAATGGATTACATATTGTCGTCTTACAAATAATTGTTCAAGTCACAAAATTAAAGCTTGTAAAGTGGACATTCCAACAATGATACTGCAAACAGTTCTGTTAAATGATCCAATAAAACTCAGTGATATCATTTTCTATCTTATACACTTAAATATACATGCAGTTATATAGTTTAGAGCACTTTCTTTTCCTCTCTTTTGTACAATCACTATTACACATTTATTATCTATTATGTCCACCCTTTTGATTTGCCCGACTCTGTTCTGTTATCTCACATTTGGTTTTACTCTCTTCCAAAAAAAGTAATAAGGACCGTGGGAGCAATGAAACCCGCAATGAATCCCCACTTTGTATGTTCCACTTTTGTATCTTGAACAACTATTTGTAAGAAGACAATATGTAATCATCAACTAGTGATTTCTTACTGTTTATTTTTTCTTTGAAAGTATGTATTATATCTACCCATTTTCTGTGCCCCCTTCTTTTATGTAACTTTCAGCTTGATTATCTCCAAGCCCTCTACCACCTACTCAGACCTTGGACTCCCAGTTTTGGTTAACATCTCCTGGGTATTTTAGGTCAATTCTTTTTTTTTTTTTATTTAAGAGGAAAAAGAGAAAAACACAAAACAAAGTGGTGTAAGGGTACACATAATACAGAACTACAAAAAAAAAATAACAGTAAGAAATCACCTGTTAGTAGATTACATATTATCATCTTGAAAATAGTTGCTCAAATCACAGTATCAAAGAATACAAGGTGGACTTTCAAACAGGGAGACTGCAAACAGCTGTGTTCAATGATCCAAAAACATTGATATAGTCAGCTATTTAACACCCCTAAACACACTTGCTGTTATATCCGTTAGAGCTCTTTTCCTTTTTTTTTTTTTCTTTTTTTTCCCTCTCTTTTTTACAACAAAATTTACACATTTTGGATTTTATTACTCCTTAGTGCTTATTACTTTTTTGGGGTGGGAGAAAATACAGTCAAATATGGCAAAACAAAGCTGTCAGTCAAAACCAAGGATAGACATAGCACATGATGTAGAACAGAGTACAAGGTTATCAACAATGGTTATCAACGTTGTCTCTTGTTTCCTTAAAAAGAATTGTCTATCTCATTAGATATTATAAAGTTGGACAAAACAGTAGAGAACAAGACCAATAAAACTTAGGCATTGTAAACATTACAGGACTTCCAAAGAAGACAATAGTCAAACCAGAATGGGTATCTTAGTGAATCTTATTGCCTTCAAAGTAGTTGCCTATGTCTTCAAACTTGATACTATCATATAGAATGGAACAGAGTCTAATCAGTCAAAACAAGATCGTGGAAGTATTACAGGACTTCAAAACAAGTTAATAGGAAATCAAAAAGAGTTACTATTTATATATCCTAATTTTTTAAATTTTTTCTTTAATTAAGACAAACATAAGAAATGACTAAATAATTTTTTTAAAAGAATAAGGGGGAGATTGAGATAAAACAGGACATAACAATATAACAATAGAGGTCAAAGCATGACTGTTTCAGCAACCTAGTACTTCACCACCATATAACCCGACTTAATAGTAGTTACCATAGTCTCTGTCTTTTTCCTTGAAGTATTTGGATAAAACTTCATATACTCTAGCTTCAAATATTTCCATATCAAGAAGCCCAGAATAAAGCCTTTCTAATTAATGAGTGAAAACTTTATAAGGCTTGAAGGCCACCTAATGGGGAATCATGATTGCCACATATATTTATATATTTGAATCATTATTTACATTAGGGAAACTATTCGGTATTCACACATGC